GTCTGTACCAACACACATATCCCTCCATCCATTATGGTTAGCCCCAAGTGCACATTCTCCAGAGCTAAGTATGATTATCATCGCCACTCCTTCAGTCATCCCTGCCTACAAGAAAATATTTTGTAGGTCCTTTAAGAAAAATTAATGATAGATTATCTGAATCCTGAATACCTAGGCCTCCAAGCATGTGTCTGACAGAAGCACGTCAAGTGCACATAGTAGACTCACATGATCAGCATGCGAACTGCTGGAGAGTGAGGAAGAAGTAGTAGGATTTCCTCATCTGCACAGATTATCAGAGAACCCCTTATAACCAGTCTTTTTCTCCCTTCATCTTTGGAGAGCCATTTTTCCACAATTTGATGCTCACAAACAGCTATACACTTTTAGATTTGACAGACTTGGATCCTGGAGGCTGCTCATGCTACAAAGCATGACTACTGCAATAAAGCGATATTCATACAGACACATATATATGTACATACATACATTAGAGGCATATTTTTGTCTGCAAAGTCCCAAACACTGAGGGCTATTTTGGCCTGGATTCATTTACATTCATCTGTTTTAGACAGAGAGGGGTACCTAAAAATCATTTGTTCAAGATGATGCTTCTTTCTAGCGCAATCTGTATCAGAATTAATGCAATAGTGTGGTTTTGTGCTCAGCAAACTAGCACAACAAAAGTGCAAACACCTTTCTGGTCATTTTATTGTTCTAGGTTCCTAGTACAAAAAACAATATAGAATTCCACATTTAGGTAAAGACATTATTTTTCAATATCTTAGCTCAGTAGATGTATCCTATCATTATTTACTGGCAGGCATAGCACAGAAATATGTTAAACTGTCTTACCAGCTCAAAGGAAACTTCAGTTTTTGCACTGCTGCTGTCCCTTGATAGTTTAGGCTGTGTGGTTTGATGATCAGGCAGTAGCAACAGTGGCATAATAAAGCAGAGCTTACTATGCCCGATTTTAAAGATAATCTCAAGAACCAATGAAAGACTGCTCAGATTATCAGATTGACTTAAAGTAGTTGCATTTGCAATTACTCATTAGCGATGGAGAAACTGAGGAATTCCTGTTAAAGGGTTAACATTTAAAAGGCCAAGTAAGGTGCTGAATATAGAAGTATCTTCTTGCAACATTTATATTAAAAAGGCCAACAGAAGTGCTCTAAGTGACCTAAAACCATTTACTAGTCCTGTCTGAATGTGGGGTGAGACTACTTCCATCCAAGGTCTCTGTCCAACTGTGCACAGACAACCTGAGTTATCCCTGAGCTGCCCTGTCCTGTACTTCCTCCACAGCCTCTTCCTGCACTGTGCTCAAAGGGGCAACACTGGAAGCAAAGGCAAACAAGCATTACAGTGCTTCCTTGTCTGAATCCTAGAGTGTATAAGGAACAGATCTTTCCATACCCAGCTGCAGTGCTGCAGTGGTAGTATTACAATCAGTATCCAGCAAGTCAGTCATGTACATGGGTCTACTGCCAGAGAAGAGGGGAAGACAGAAGCAGGCAAAGCACAGACTAACAGTCTGCCGGTATTAGCTCTAGGGGCCAAGAGACATGAATGCAGGGGCCATGCAGATGATACTACAAATTGGTACTACAGATTGAGTTATGGTGCTTCTCCCAATACCTTCTTTTAGGCCTTCCTCATCCAGTAAGACTCCTGCCAACTCCCATGAGGCCCCATTGTTACCCATCTAAATGTATATTACACTTTTTTATAGTTACAACAATCCTGTACAGGAACAGAAACAGAAAGCCCCTAAAATGCAAGCAGCCTTCAGTGTGCCGCTTAAGCAAATAACACCTGCTGCCTCAGAACTGTCTAGATGCCTGTAGTTTGCCTGCTGTGGCAGAAACCACTTAGAGACAAACTGTATCCCTGCATCTTCCCAGCCTACTGCCACAGTAGTAGCATCTTTATCTATAAAGATGCTATGATTGTGTAAAACCCACAGCTTTTACCATATTCTGCCTACAGGACAGACAGAAAAATCAGTACAAGAGTTCAGCAGCAGTTTGGCTCAAACAGCAAAGCACAAACTTCTTTTCCCAGTTTCCTTCCATATTACTATTCCAAAGTACAGAGTAGTGTTTCTGACAAGAACAACACAGCTCTCTGGAAATTGCCTTTTTTCATACTTCCCCTGTACCCCAAGTGCCACTCAACGCAAAGACCACTAACCAAACTCCTGCTTTCCAAAGGCCACTTAGACCCTCCTTTCATGTTTTCTAGGACCCATTTACATGTGTCCCACTGTCCCACAATTAGCTTCCATCAGATGAACAGTGCTTCTCACCAGGTGATTTGTTTTCAGTTGCACCTACCTTGAAGCTCTGGTTTGTTGGTTTTTTTTTTTTTTTTTTTTTTTTTTTTGTATTGTTGGTCAAAGTGCTCCATTTGGATAGACATCCACTGTTTGTCTACTGTCAACCCAGTACCAAACACACAGTACCACAGCCATCTAAGAGCTTTGTCTACATGGGTGGTGTTGCTGGCATCTTACTACCTCATCCCACTGCTCAGTGCATGACTAACCTCTAGGTAGGCTAAATTTAGATCAGCTGGTTACCTGAGCATGGCAGGAGTGGCTAAGCAGATTCCCTTGTAGCAAAGGGCTTAGGCAGCCTATTGCAAATTGTGTTCTTTTAAGCAGGCCTGCTTGGCCAAGCACGTAAACATCAAATGCCTTTACCACACCATTATTGTAACTCTTCACACTGCTGTTCAGTAATCTGCCACTGTGGGTTACTGAGCCCATGGAAGGGTGGAGGGACACCTTTTAGAGATAGCTTGTTTGCGAGCAGAGGAGGCCTGTCAAAAGCCAAGAAAACACGGACTTGCAATGCTACCAATGGCCCTAGAATTCCTGAGGAAACACATTTTTTCCAAATTAGATATTGCTAGGTCAGGGATGTTTGCAATTTGCTGCTAGAAGTCGCAGAACCGCCCCCCCGACCCCTCCACATCCACAGGGTCAACAACTCATTGGCCAAACACTTGTTACAGCTTGCTTCACAGTGAACAGTCTCCCTTATTTTAATATCCTTATGCTATATATCAAAGCAAACTCTTCTCTGCCCATTAAATCTGCCTCCTAGGGTGACCAGAGGCAACTTCTAGACAAACATAGCAGCAAACCACCACGTTCTACCAGATGTGCAGCTAGATAGCATAGCAACGACAGAAACAGCTCCTTCAGCAGTTCTGGGATCAATGATACTAACAGAAACAAGGAGCATGCAACACTGAGATGTGAAAGGGCCCTACACAGACGGGCAAGTTTCCCTTCCTCCCGTAAGCAGCCTGGGGCCAGTTACCACAATGTAGTTTCTGAAGTGCAAATAGCTGCAAGATGAAGCTGCAAAAGACTGCGTTACAGACCATCAGCGATGCTTCTGCCCAGTACACATTCGCATAGACACAAGCACGATACAAGCAGACCTTGTAGGACAGTGCGAGGCAGGCAGGCTCAGCTCATCAACGACGAAGTAGAGTCGGCTCGATCCGCTGCTGCCTCGCGGAGGGCGTGCAGGGTGCTTGCAGCACAGCAGGAGGATGCACAAGCATGGTAAAACAATACCTCTCACGACTTATTACAGAAGATTACAAGAAAAACGGAAAATAAGGAGGGAAGGAACCAAAAAAACTGATTTCTTGGAGCAGTGCGCAGGGAGCCCCTGAGCTAGGGGTACATTGAGGGAGTAACAAGAACTGAAGCCCTATAGGTTCAAAATCAACGTAGCGGAGATCATGGCTGTTCTGAATGATCAAGCCAGGGATGTGGATGCATAGAAAAACTCTCCCAGCACTCACCTGTGGAAAAAAACCAGCTTCTCTTCATTACAGTGCTGCTACTTGTTTAGGGAGCTGTGGGGTAATGTCTTAGTAAGAGATGGGGAGAGGGAAGAGAGTTTATTGCTATCACAGCAACAACATATGATTACTGCACTGGAAACATACATCATTCACCACAAAGGTTCTCTCAGTATAAGATCTTCTGGAGCCAAGCAGCCCATGGGTTAGTAGCACTGTGCCTACGTAAGGTATAGGTCTTCACATTCACTATCAGTATTACAGCAACACTTAAAGACAATTATGCTAAACAAAACAGAGATACAGAGATGTCAGAGAGAAAAGTATTCACAGTTACAGTGTAAATAGCAGTTTACTGGTTGGCTTTATTAGCTAGCAGAAATTGCTCAAACTTTGGGTTACTGACCTGTTACCTGCAGCACATCAGGTCCAAGGCAGAAGATGGAGTCATAGGCACATCGAGGTAGGACAACATTTCTGAAATCTCTGCATAGTTCTAAAAGCTGCTCAATGTTTCAGTTAATGTGCTTGGAAAGTACTGGGAGAGATGCTGATTTAGTAGAAAGCCCTGGTAGCATGAGTTTGTCTGGAATTATATGTGTTTTGAAGACTTGTCATTTGCTGATCCCACCTGGAAAGGCAAAGTCTCTCTGAAACCTGAGTGGTGTTTGGCCTCTTGAACACCCAGTTCTGTGATGATTATATAAGAATTGTTTTTGATCATATGCCATGGACAGGGCTGGGACCCTCCATAATTAACAAACTATTACAGCTGTGTTTAAAGAGCCAGAGACATTAGTAGGAAAAGTAACACCATGTGTGTTGTTTGGAAAGGGTAGGGGAACTTTAATGTAACAAATATGCTGGCCATGGGTTACACTTCTAAGATTTCATGTACATCCAAACTCTCAAGCCATGTGAGAATACCAGGGAAAATAAAGTTTTGTACTCTTTATAAGGTTACTGTCAAAAAAAAATTGCACATCTACATAAGCTAAAGGGTAATTTTCAAGGTACAGTTGCGTTTTCTGCCATTATAAGGGGGCATCAATCACATCAAGTTTAAGACATTAGCGGAATAAGTTGCAATAGAAATAGGCCTATATTTCTATGGCCCTAACAGTTTTCAGTTGTATGCAATAGAGCTTACATAAAGTAATCTTTGTTTCTCTTCTGAATTTTGCCAACACTTTGCTCCTGGCACAGCATGGAAAACACCCTACACTCTGCAAGGCAACATCAAGTCCTTAGTTTGTCTGTGTCCCATTGACAGGGCTGTCAGAGCAACAGGAGACCCACTGCTTGACATAGCTCCGTGGAAAGTCCTCCCCCTCCTGCTCAAGTGGGATGGATCCACAGTTAGTCTGACTGTTTTGCTCAAATTCAGAGTCAACTGGACTCCCACAGTCCGAGTCCACAAAGCCACTATCAATAGTGTCCAAATCTACGCAGATCATAGGGTAACTGTCACCAGGCCTTGCAATGTGAGGAAAGAAGCCATAGGAGCCTTCACTGTAGGAAACACTTTCACCATCAGGAGAAGGTAGAGAAGCCGGACTTTCCAAATCCCACTGATTAGGCTGCAAGCAAAGGGCTTCTAGGATGCTCCCCATCCCTCCTTCCAAAGACCTTTCTACTTGCTGGTCGGCTGGGACACTTGTACTCCTCAGGTGGTCTGTAGACACAGCTCCTGAAGCAAGTATTTTATCCTGTGTGCTCAGGTCAGCTAGATGCAAGTCACTGGATATCTTGTCTTCATTATCAACGTTTACCTTGGGGTAAGCAGTTTCTCCAGCACTACTGTCTTCCTCGCCGGTACGATCATGTCCCCTGTATGCACGGTTACAGTTGCACTGGCAGTTACAAAGTGTAAATTCATCAGCCACAGTAACGGTATCAATGGACAAATGCCCATATGACCGGTCCCGAGCCCCACTGCTACTGTTCGCACTAGACAGCAGGGACTGGTTACCCTGACCTGGGGCAGTCCGGCAAGACACACAGGGCTTACAAGGCAGGTCGTTTCTCAGCTCACACAACTCCTCCCGTGAGGTGCTGTTGCAAGGACTCATGGTGTAAACTTCTAGGACTTCTGGCAGGACTATTCCCCACTCAAAGAAATCAAGGGTTGTTTTCGTATGGGATGCACCAACCCACTTCTGCATAAGAAGAAATACAGGCAGAGAGGGAGAGAGGTTAGCATCATCAGGTTTGAGGTTCGACAGAAATGATAAAAGTTCTTAAGCTTTTAGAGGAAAAGTCAAACTCTAAAATCACCGACTCCTCCAAAATAGCTAGGTATGAGATGCTGTTATTACCAGACACAAGCAGCTGCAGAACTGGCTCAAGTAATTGAAAATAATTAGCTAGAAGAGGTTTGCATGGCTTTGAAGTTTTCTCTATGCTGCAAAAAAAAAATGCCACTGCCCATAGAAGCATTCCTTCCTGCATCATCCAGATGTCCCCTCCCAAGTCACCAAGTCTTCCCTGCGCTCTTGTCCTGGACACTGCGCCTCTCAGGAAAGATGGTCAGCTGCTCCCCCTATGTGCTGCACCTGCAGCTAACACACACATAGCCCTGCTCTACCACTTCCATCACCTCAGTTGCCTGGGGAGGGGGTCAGGGCAAGGCTTCTCCCCATCTTCTGTATGCAACCATGCCCCAGACCAGCCATTTCTCTCACAGTGAGAAGGAAGCAGGGGCAGGCTGGGGATGGAGATGTCCAAGACCTGTAGCCACCACTTGCTACAGATAACACTTATTCATATGATTAGTGAGTGACACACATTGAATCTTGCCCTTCTGTATCACCATTAGTATTATATTCTGCCACATGCCATGCATTATCTCTAGATCATGAGCCCCTTGCATTCAGTCACATCTGGGAATAAAGGCATGTCTGGGTTTTTCTGATCTAAGAGCAAAGTAAAAGTTTCTGTTCTTTTTGAAGACATCAGTGAATCAGACACTCAGATCACAGCGAACTCTAGGCATGTGCCACTAATGAATGCCAGTGAGTCCTACTAGAGGATTCTGCAGTCCAGAGGCTGGGCACAGCATAGACTCAAGACTTGGTTCTGCTATCTGTCTGATACTTGCCTAATGGCTGAGCTGTGTCAAGGCTGTTCTAAGTGCACCACTTTCTGCTATGTATAAAACAGGTAACAAAGCTGAGCTTCATAAACACTGTGAAGGCTTCTGACAGAGTGCTGCACGAAAGCTGGGTGTTGCCACCGCTGTCAGACTGACTTAATCATATCAGGCTCCTGTCCCAAGCGGCATTTGGCATAACTAAATATGAGCAAAGTATGTGGGAAGGGAACAGCTTGACACAGCTTATTACACTCTGACACAGAGCATGGAGAAAATCTTCATTACAGCATAAAGCACCAAGTCTATTTTAATTTATTTTTAACCTAAGCTACAGAGAGCTTATTATTAAAGCTGTAATGGACAGAAAAGCACCCAGGGTGCAAAAGGTTGTTTGAAGAAACAGCAGGAAATCCATTTCTTAGAATTGAGCAGGCAGAGTATTTCCTATTCCCTCTTGACAGTTCTTTGCAAATTCCCAGCCAACATGAATCTAAGGACCCATGTACACACAAGAGTATACAATGTTCCTCTGGTTTCCCTTCTTTTTATGTCTTACTTTTCCTCTAACATTTTCACTGCTTCCTACCCAATCCAGGACTGTTGTCTGCAGAGCATTGCTATTGTAAATTTCTGATCTTTATTCACAGAAACAACCTAACCACTTGCTCTGATGCATGCAGGATGCAGTTGCATGAGCCCTACATCTTTTGGTTTCTTGCCAGCTGAAAATGATGAGTCTGTTCACATATTTGTGATGTCACCACATCCTTTTGCCACCTCCAGCCTGTGCATCTTGTGCCATGGCTGTGTGGGCAACTGCTGCTTTAATCTACAAGTTTATTAAGTAACTCAGCTTTAGCAATGGAGGCTCATTCCCTTCCCTGCAGCACTGAACAGCCTAACTAGAAACTAGCAAGAATGCAATTCCCACAGAACAGAGAACCCTATGGCTTCACCCTGAGAGGAGCACGGCCCTTGGCATATAGGGTGCTTTCACTTCCACTGTGAGCCCTAGACTGTCACTCTCAGGACTTCCCACACTGAGTCAACCTTGTCCTGGTTCCTTTCCTTAAGGGCAACTAGTGCCACCTGCCTCACAAGAGGGTGCAAGTACCCCTCTGGTACAGATACGGGAAGCCATAATAAGGCTGAAAGAGGAAGGCAGGAAGGAAGTGAGACAGTCACTGCAGGCTTCAGCTTGAATGGCACACGTCCAAGACTACTTGCTTAACCTAATTGCAAACATCAGCCATGCAGAAGTGGGAAAGTACATGAACATCACTAGCGTCCAGCTGGTGTCCCTCTTCCAGAGGGCCTAATAAAAAGCAGAAACTAAAAGCAGACACTGAAGCATCTCTGATCAATACTGCTGTAACAACAGGAACTTGTTCGGAAAGAGGCAGTGATGTCTGCACTCACATGAAAACACTTTTACAGCTTAATAATGGCATTGTGAGTTGCTCTTCAGCTTAACACAATCATTAGTCATGGATGCTCAGTGTTCTTTTACTTTTGTATCACAAGAACTTCAGCAAACTGCAGTCATTGCAAACCATTTTGTCACATGAGCAAGTTTGGCTGGTGTTAAATGAGAAGAGTGTGGGAGGGCTAGACAAAGTTACTCAAAGGTACTTCCTTCATAGGGAGGCAGCTGCACTGTACTATCACACAGCAGTTATTTGCCCCTAAAGCTCTAGCCCTCTTTCCAGGATGATATGCAGAGCTATTTACTCTGTGAGTGATCTGGAGAAAACCATAAGGCTTAATATTGAGCTCATGTCACTGCAGAGGCTGGAATGGGAGATTTGGCTCTACAATGAAGTCTGGTCCATGGCCTTGATGGCAGCATGGGACTGGAGCTTCGTAAAAATTCCAGTTACTGTCCTGGTATCCCTTTATCCACTCCCTTCAGGTACCCAGGCTTCACATATCACATATGAGCTCAGCTAAACCACTGAAACAGCACTTACAGGAAATAAGCAGCACAGATGTGGTATAAAGGCCTTCATGGCATGGAACAGACACTGGAGAGCTGTGGTCCTTATATCTGGAGCCCTTTGGCATTCCCTTGAGATAGATTCCCCCTCCCATTGCCCTAATGAGATTCTCTTGCCCAGGACAGAGTGATGGGCCTTTTAGTTTAACTTTGTCATGTGCTCCACTTGCTTGTGTAGCCCATTCATACCTTGAAATCTCCATTATGCACCAGGTAAAGAGGTTTGAAAAAGGGAGCAGGGTCTGGGATGCAAACCATCTTCTTCCACAAGCTGGAATAGAAAAGAGAAAGGCTTCAGGGTTAAGCACACATTACAGATGCAAAGCAAGGCCTCTCCAGATCCAAATTCAAGCAGCTGAAGTCACCTGCCCAGCCTCACAAGTTAGCAAATGGCCGAGGAACCAAGGATGTCTTGTGCTGTCAGAGCCATCTAATGGCTTTTCTTGTGAGCCTCACAGGAGGTGGGGCCTCAGCCCTCACAACTTGCACACACAATATTCACGCTAAGGAAAGAAGTTCCAATTTTTGGTTCCTGGAAAAGCACAAAGTGCTGGAAATGCATTTTCCCCTCAGGCTGGGCTGACTCATGGTCTGCACAAGAAGGCCAGGACTCTGCCCTGTGCACTGTTTCTGTAGTTGTGCTAGCCCTGTTGCTGCACCAGCCCAGCACCCTGCTCTGCGGCAGCATGCACCACATCCCTCTGCAAGGGAACGTGACTCTCCAAAAAGGAGAGAGGCCCCGGCCAGCACTGAGGGGGCCTGTATCAGCTTTGGAAAGGGGGAGGTCAGCCCTGGCTGGTGCTCCCATATTGCATCTGCAGAGCACAGACAGGACCAGGAGAACAGCCGAGGAGGCTGGGTGGCCCCTGCTCAGTCCCCACGCGCCATTATCTTGTCCCAGCCAGCTGAAGGACAGCAGAGCCCCAGAGAAAAGCAAGGTGCTCTTGGCATTACACCAGCTGGAGACCATACTTTGCTGACCCTCACAGGCGCATAGCTGTGTCTGTGCATAGATATACAAGATGCAAAGAAGGTTGCATGTGAACACCCCATCTTTAGCAAGACAGAATAGGAGCATTTATTCCAGCTTCCTGAAGCACTCTTACCTCTGCTGTTTGGCCAGAAAGGTTGTGACTGAGGCAGTGATTGCCACGATAACACCAAACAGCAGCAGCCATCCTACACCTGCTGTCTGTGTCACTGCTGGAGAAAGAAACAGGGTCATTCCATTTCACCTTGCATTCCTACCCTGGTCAATAAGCACGAGATGGTGAGGAGACACCCTCAATTTTTACCCCAGACTTTCTTAGGGACACTGAGGCGGTCACCTGAGGCCCAGCACTCCAGACATGAGGTCTGAATGAGGATGCTCAGAGAAGACTGCATCAATGAAAGCAGCAGTGCATCAGCTGCCTTATGGCATGGCTGCAAAAACCAACAGCCAGGACAGCTCCCTGCTACAAAGACTCCTGGTGTTTCTGACTCCTCCTGGTTTAGGGACACCTCCATGGACGACCCATGAAGTGAAAAGAGTGCAGCTGTCCAGAGACATGAAGAAAAGGTGTTGACTAGATGAGTGCTTGCTGGCTGCTCTCCGCCAATGAAGGAAAGGAGCACCTTCGAGACCCAGAACTCAGATAATCCCTAGCAAATGGAGCCTGACCCTGCTGCCACAGCACCATGTAATACTACAGTTCAAGCTGCAGATCAACAAGAGCAGGGAAGCTCAGCACATGCTGCTGACATTGACCACATCCATCCTGCCCTGCTCTATTTTAACAAAGACTCCCTATTTTCGTAGCCTCTATTCCACCATGACAAGCACCAGTGTACTTCTGTGCATAAGGTACTGTGCACTCCCTGTGGAGTGGGAGTGGTGGCTACCAAATGAAACACCCATGCCCAGCATGCCCAAACATCAGAGTCCAGACATGGAAATTAGCCCTGAGAGCCGGATCCCTCTCCACTCAGCTGAAGGCAATACTAAGCCCCAGTAGTGGAGGCACCTCTAGTAGATCTCCCCAATTTCTGAAAGCTGCAAGCAGGACCCTGGACATTTGACACTGGAAATTATGCTAGAGGCTGCACTCCTGCTGTGGCACCCAAACCTACAGGCAGCTCACCAAATCCTCTTCCTATGGGCCATGCTGTAAGGTGGCCTTTGCAACACAGCGAGAAGGTCAATACAGACAGCACACATCAGCCCAGGCCTGGGGTTCATGTACTCTGTAAGCAAGCCAGACATGCCTGTCTTTAATTAGAACAAATTCTAAATAGTCTAGTAATTAGATTTGATTAGCGTTCTGGAAGCATTCTCTGACATTGGACCAACTGGAAGGGCAAGGAGAGCTGGTAAATTATACCCCCTGGGCTGGTTTTCAGTATCAGTGGAGGACTCCATTCACTCCAAAATCCATGGTAGCCAGTGCCTTCTCGGGGTCTGGCTCTCACTTGGAACTCATACTCAGTGTTTGCTTGGAGTTCCCATGGCAGGATCACCAGTGTCCGTTTATCTTCATGGACAGCTTTAGTCTTCTGAGTCTGTGAACGATTAAACACCAAACACTCAGGGCTAGAGTGACTGCTCTTGTGACCTTACCCTCACTGCTGCACAGCAAGGAGCCCTACAAAGTAGTCTCCTCTGCTTTCATCTTGGTTCTGCAAGGCCACGCTCTGGCTGGTCAGTAGCTGCACAGGGCCCTGGGGGATCCTTCTATGCAGAACAGTGTGAGAAGCAAATGAACTATCAGCCTTCCACACAGGATCTAGTGCTTCTCAAACAGCTTCTGCTTCTCAATCTTTTTTTTTCAGTTTTGCCTGTTTTCAGTTCAGGCAAGCAAAGAGACACCTTTTCCAAACCATGAAAACCCTTCTTCCACACCAATGCTCCTGTCCTGGCTGTGCTGGCCTCCCCTCTGCTGGTACACTCTACTTGATGGTAAACTGACATCTTGCTTACCTCCCAGGTGTCGGTCCTTCTCTTGTAGCGTAGCTGATATTCCAGCTCCTCATCCAAAAAGTAGAAAGGAGAGTTCTGGTAGATGGTTTCCCACGAAATATTGTAACCCTCTGAGAACACAGCTGTCAGATTGAATGGAGGCTGTGGTTTGACTGGAAGACAGGACGGTGTTACCCTTCAGAACATTACTGCAGACAAGAGGCAGCCCAGCATGGTATCAGCAATACAGAGCTAGTAGGGAGCAAAACTGCGGTGGCAGGGGTGGGCCCTCTTACACAGGACAACATCCACAACATTCCTGCCTCTCAGGCTGAGCAGTCCTGAGCCATGTGCAGAAACTCACACCTCAGCAGCATAGTGTCAGGCCCACATGTTTCTAAATATGCCTTCTGCCTGTCTCTGAACCTCCTCATCACCTAGGGAGCAGAAGATAGCCCAAGGGGCTAATACCTCCTGGAAGATGTAAAGAGTAGAGCACCTTGTTCTTCCATGAAATAGGAGGACTCCATGTAGTGACAGTCACTTGCACAGTTAGGGAAATACCTCTCAGTGTAACAGAGATGTCACGAAAAGATGAGGCTAGTGGACACTGCATAAACTCAGCGAAAATCCCTGTGTTCTAAGTGCCTAAAAGGCAAGATTTTGTATACCCTGTAGAGCATTTTCATATATCAAAAAGCAGCAACGCAAACTCCAGCACTAGCCTGCAGAGTCCGCCACTGAGCTATGATGCCTCTGTATGGGGACATCTAGCAGATACATGAAGCACCACTACCCAAGCTATTGTCTGTCACTGGGGCAAGGGACTTTCCTGAAGGGTTACAGCGTTTGTCAAAAAGATGCCACTTCTTGTGTAAAGTTTAATTTCAGAAGAATTCAAGCAGAAAAATCCTTTTCATATGTCCGCATGGTACCTGCCTGCCTGGCTAACCACCCCTTTTCTTCACTGTTTGCTGCACAACTCGGAACACATCAGCATTCCACCAAGCCAACTATATGATTGCACCCAGTCTTCCTGTCATGCAGGAGAGATGGTTAGGAATTGCCACAGAAAGAGGAAGTGCCACCTCCATTGTGTCTGGGACACCTTGTGCCACCCACAATAATGTCATGTTGGTTCAGGTGTGCACTGCAAGAACCTCCTGGGACTCCTATGGGAACATTTGTGGCATCTACAGTTAAAACAATTTCTCCTGCCCTTTGGATTCTAGCCAAGAACAAGCACTTGCATAGTCTAGGTATGAGACAAACCTAAGGGGGAAATTTATCACTTACTGCTTCATGGGGAAAAGGAAAAGGCTGGGACCAAGCCAGCTTTAAGCTCAGCCTCAAGCATAAGTGTTTCTGTAGTTTACAACAGCAACAATAAGAGCACAATGCTCTGTGTAGGCAAGTGGACACCAAACATAAGCCCGCCACCACCAGCTGCCATGCTCACTCCTTGCCCACACTATCCCAGCAGATAGACATACGGTCAGACAGTATTTATCAAATCCCCCATTTTTGTACTTACTGTTGTCTGCCATATAAAAGCCTTTGGAAATCACATGCTGCCTATCAGCTATCTCTGTAACATCCACTTGGACTTTGAAATCTGCCAAGAGTGCAGTCATGTCCACAGTGCACATGTACTGCGTGTGACTGGTATTCCTGGACAATTGCAGGAGTCTGCAGGCAGTCACAGTATTTTCTGGATCTTGCTCAGGAACCCTAAAACCACCAAAACAAACAAGTCCACATCTATCACATGCTGTAGTTGGACTATTGCTGAATCACCAGGCATAAAAATTAATAAGAAAAAAAAGAGGCAATATGTTCAAATAAAAATTTATCTTTGTACTTTCACAGATTTCCCCCCCCCTTCTATTTGCTTAGCTTAGCATCTTTGAGAGAAGTAGGAACGTGATGCTGAAGTGTTTGTGGAAAGGAAAGGTGCTCACCAGGGCTGTGGCCACTTCCTTGCTCAGACAGAACAGCAGCCATACAGGACTTGGACAAGATGCATGAGCCCTGCCAGCACACACGAGTGGAAGTCCATTGTTAACAGCAACAAAGGGCAAGGTATCCCCAGGGCAGGAGAGAAAACAATGCCAAGGAAGCCAGAGTCAGTGTAGCAGTCAGTGGCAAACACCACAGTCAGCGGACACAGGAACCAGGCATCCTTTGCTAGGGGAGAAGCCAGCTGATAACTGTAATGTGAAGTACCAAGTAAGGACCAGCACGGCAGCAAGAACAAGAATTCTACCTAACAAAGAGGACAGAAGGACACCACTGTGCTACAGCCATGTTAAAAGTTCCTGCTGACTGCACTTAGCTCATCCTACTGCGACATACCATGTTGCAGTGAGGTTATATGAACTGGCACCCAAGTCATTTCTCAGGATACAGGACAGGGTCTGTACATAGTCCACGAAACAAGTGAGGTTTTCACAACACGTAGCTGTAGGTTTGGAAAGACAAAACATGATATCAACTTCCATGGTGAAGCAAGCAGAACTTTGTATCAACATACACAGTCCTCAGGGCTCCCACTGAATCTGAAGGGAACAGATCACACTGTGCCAGCCCCCACAAAAGTCTGCAGTCTTGGAGCATGAGATGTGTACAATCTCTACAGGAAGGCGAGCCATTGACAGCAAGATAAGCATCAAAAAAAAATAAATCTATTCAAATGCTGTGGCTGCAAATGTCATGCCAAAATACCAGGAAATGCCCAAATTGTGACTGAATTTTCAAACTTATCTGTCCCCTTTTATACAGTCACTTGAGCAGAGCCACATATTACTTCTACCAGAGTCCTAGCTTATGTAGCACATAAAACAGGAATGATTACCCAATCAAACAGTAGCATATTCAAACATTTTAATGATGCCACTTCTTAAACTGAGCACTGTTGTACAAGTACTAGTTTAGTTTGTGTTTTATAACATCTACATGGCACTTCACACATTAAAAAAAAGGTATTTTAGTAATTCTGTCTCTACTATTCTCTCTGCTTACTATTTTCTACACCTTGATATCTGCAGCATCAACGCTTCTCAAGTCCAGGTCCAGAGGCTTGGAATATGCTTTTCATGGAATTTTGGCAAAAAAGTATTGCAAATTTCTAGTTACTATAATTTCCATAAATCATTCTGATACTGATGTGATAGTCACAATTTATTAATCACTTAAACAGAAACAGACTTCTGAAGAGAACTTGAGAAGCAATTGTAGAATTTACACTGGTCATTAAGAAAATTAGTTAATTTGAAAGTGGTCACGAAGCAGCATTTATATTCTTCCAATTGTTCTGCAGGAGCTCTGCTCACATATCAGTATCTGGTATGTGCTGTACAAAAGCACTGTTGTTCTACGCTTAACACACAAGTTATCTCCCTGGATTTCGAGGCAGAGGAGATGGCAGTAGAATGAGAAATATCTGCATTGGCAAGTCCTCTCCTAACAGCATCTTGGGCTGACAAGAGCCACTGCTACTACACTAGGAGTAACCAAGTGAGGAAAGACCTGTAGGAGATGCAGCATGCCATGCTGATGCAAACCGTGACTACTACAATGACTATTCATCTCTTGCATGTACAGTATCACCCTTTTTTGATGGTAATAAAATTGTAATCATCTAGGGGAAGATCTCAAGGTTGTTACATCCATGCTTAAATCAAGCATGGGTCCTTCCCTACCATCAGGACTGCCCCCAGCCTGATAGGAACATGTTACTTGACAGCCATCAGGCACCCAAATCTGCTGATGGTAACCATGCTGAGAGTTCACCTCCCTATGTCATTCTGCTGCTTGTCTGGTTAGAGAAGCTGTACTCCCTGCTTCCTACCTTCCCTTTCAAGAACACGCTTTGTGTTCAGAAGAGTTGCTTGCATGAGATGAAAGCAGGCCTACTGATACATTAAACAACCACCATGCCCAATTTTACAGTTAAAGAGAATGCTGTGTGCAGAGAACAATCAACATGAAATGCAGGAAATGTGTATTGATGGATGCGAAACGTCTGCTCCATCCTCCAGATCAAATGACAGTTCTCCCAAACAATTTGTCTCTGCATTTACAGTCACAGTGCACAGCAGACATGTCCAATGGACAGTGCAGCCTAATTCTAGGCCAGAGTAAGTCCAAAGGAAAACAAAGTCCAACTTTTCCCACTGACTTCACTCATCACAAAAGTTTCTTCCTAGTCCTGTTGCATCAGAGCACGCACTGCTCTCCCTGCATGAGCTCTGGGCAGCACCCAGATTTGTGTACAAGACCCACCCCCCCCCGCAAAGAGTCAGGATGGCGACAGAAGAAATTTGGGGATGCTTGCTACAGACTGACCCCAAGGCTGTACACATGCTTTATTAAACTGTGATTCAAATTATGTGGTTGTCACTTTGTTTCATTTTGACTTTTTCATTTTACACTGACTTCAGACTTTTGTTCTAAATTTTTCACAAAATTTTAACTTTTCATTTTCAGCCCTCTTTGGCCTAACTTCACTCTCCTACAAAAACGGGGTTATAAAAACATTGCTTTCCTTTAGAGAAAGCAGCAAGTATTAATAAGCTAATAAGCACTGTTAATCAGCATTCTTCTATGCTATTATGTTAATCAGTCAAATGGACTACTATTCCTAGGTAGCTGGTAATCTGCAAGTGTATCTCTGCGCAAGAATCTGTTAACAAAATTAAGAAAAGGACAGCTTTGTACTGGGAAGGGAATAATTAAATGTCCTAAACCCAGTTAGATCTGGGATGCATTGTTCATCCTTGGCAGCTTCAGAAACAAAAATCCAATACTCTTAACACTAAGATCTAGTTTGGTCCAAACTGAAAGTGGGACAGGGTAATTCCCTGGCTTGCGTTACACAAAATCCAGACTAGACATCACAATGGTCCTGTATGGCAGGAAGATACAACTCCAAATTAATCGTTTCTGATAATTTAGGTTTGGAGCAGGTCCAATGCTCTGCCTAAGCAGCAGCATGTAAAATGCTAAACTTGCACTGTTCCCTCCAGACACTGTTGTGGCTGCCTTTTTCTGTCCAGCTGACCTGTTCAGAAAGTCAGCTCTGAGTCAGCTGAAGCTTGCACCGTGGGCAAGAACCAGCAAGCAAGGGGGAGTGACTGCATAGTGCAGTCCTGAGCAAAGGGGCTCAGACCAGGAGAGGTTCACTTTGCTGTCCCTGGCTGGCCTGCCAACAGCAGCCATAAGCCCTGGAGATCTCCTGGTCTTGGCCACCAGAACCTTTCCTATGGTGAAGTTTTTTTTTTTTTCTGAAGGGGAAGTCCTACTCTAATTTCAACAAGAGACATATCAATGCAAAGCAGGCACTGCCTCTACACTCTCCCCACTGGTGCTGCTCCCTGGAGGGGTATGCAGTCAGGCTGAGCTCTACCCATCTGTGCACCGTCTTTTGTCTGTCCTCCACTGCTCATGGAGCCTCTTCCATAAACGCATCCCATGGAACCCTCTCCCCTGGTACCCTATCTTGTGCCATGCCCATCTCAGCAAAACCCGTGTCAGTAGTCACCAAGGTAAATCCTGTGGGTATACAGCCTGAAAGAGATATCTGGGAACTTACTGTACTGGAATAAAAGGAAGAAGGAAATACTCTGGAGCCACAGTTTGTTCCTCATGTTGGTTCTGACTGGATGTCCTGGAAAAACAACCAAAAACCCAGACACTTTAAAAACCCCAACCAACCAATTAGAAATTCAGCTCAGCTATCTGCTCATATGTTGAGGGTTGAGGTGAAATTAATCTTGCTTTCATTTAAGTGTTTTAAAGTGCCTAATTTAGGCAAGTCATCTCAGCTTTCCTGTAGGTATCTACTCCATGGGCTAAAGGGTGGATGACCAATAGCCTTGCCAACTGGCCATAAACCAGGTCAGTGAAATCTCTGCTCCTTGCCAGAAGCATGTGCACAGAGAAAGCAGCAAAGTGACTGCAGCCTCAGCCTATCCATGCAACAGGAAGGCACTTGGGTTAAGTGCTAAGCCATTTTTTTCTTTATTGGTTTCCTGCAACTAAAAATGGCTTGCAACTAGGAGAAGTGACATTGCTGTGGCTTAAACATCTGTACAGTGAATTAGTCAAATAGAATCTGAATGTCACTGTGGGTCTGTATGAGCAAGGCTTATCGATTTGGCCTACCCATGGTTAAATAAGCATGGAATATTAGTTAAGGCACTCCAGGAAGGCAGACTAGACAAAAAAAACACACAAACAACAGCCTCTTATGTGGCACAGAAGAGTACAGCACTCACTTCAGGGGAAGGCTGTCTTGACGCAGTTTGGTGAAGAGAACCTACACAAAATTCTTCAGAGAAGAGGACAGCAGGATGTTTATAACAAGGAAACAGCATCACATAAAAATGACTGCTCAGCCCACAGCCCCTGCTCCAAGACCAGGCCTTCAAGCCACATAAAACATTAAGCCTGCATTTTCACGGTATTTAACATTTACAGAAACACACAGATGTGCACAGAAAGACTTAAAATGAGCTCCCTGCAGAGTACTAGCTGTTGATACCAGGTACAGATTTCAGCACTGTTTACTCAAGCTATTCTGAAATGTGCTAGGCTGCCTGGGAACAAGCTTTGGAGAAGCAAACTGTATTATTTTTGGGACAGACTTCTGTCGGCACCAAGTTGCAAGGACACACAGACACCAGGGAGGGTCTACATGCCATGCCACAGAGCAGCGACACTGTCAGTGACTGGACACACAGGAGTGTCTCTGCAGAGCCCCAGAGCTCTGCAAACCCCCCTGCAACAGATTGCACAGAGGCACCTGTGAAAGCAGTAGGAGTGAAGACTGGGCAGAAAGCTGCAGCTACCAAAAGATACCCAGAACTCCTGACAGGGCCTCGTGCAGGTTATAGAATGGTTTGGGTTGGAAGGGACCTTTAAAGGTCATCTACTCCAACCCCCGCTGAAATGAGCGGGCACACCTTCAACTGGATCAGGTTGCTCAGAGCCCCATCCAACCTCCAGGGATGGGGCATCAACCACCTCTCTGGGCAACCTGTGCCAGGGTTTCACCACCCTCATAAGGAAAAAATTTTTTATGATATCTAGTCTGAATCTACCCTCCCTTAGTTTAAAACCACTGCCCCTTGTCCTATCACAACAGGCTCATCTTTCTTATAAGCCCCCTTTAAGGTGGGGAAAGGCCACAATCAGGTCTCCCCGCAGCCTTCTCTTCCCCAGGCTGAGCAGCCCCAGCTCTCCCAGCCTTTTCTCCCAGCAGAGGGGTTCCAGCCCTCGCATCATTGCTGGGGCCTCCTCTGGTCCCACTCCAACAGCTCCACGTCTGTCCTGTGCTGAGGGCTCCAGAGCCGGATGCAGGACTCCTGGGCAGGTCTCACCAGAGCGGGGCAGAGGGGCAGAATCCCCTTCCTCGCCCTGCTGCCCACACTGCTGGGGATGCAGCCCAGGGCACAGTTCGCCTTCTGGGCTGCAAGCACACATTGCCAGGTCACATCCAGCTCTTCAACCACCCATACACCCAGGCCCTTCTCAGCAGGGCTGCTCTCAATCCCTTCATCCCCCAGCCTGTACTGATACTGGAGGTTGCCCCGACACAGGTGCAGGACCCAGGTCCTGAGGTGCCTGTGCCTCCCCCACTGCCAGCAGCAAACACTCAGCAGAGAGAATGCCAGTGAGGCCTCTCCCACTTGGGGAACATTTGTGGTATTTAAAAATTCCCCAGGTTTACTCAAAGAATGAAAGCAAAATAAATTTAGCAGCCACCAAAAATCCCCTGCAGCCCCACATGAGCTCAGAGACTTGCTCTCAATGCACTGCAGTGTCCAGATGAGCTCAGCAAGGCTCAGTCAGGAGGTGCCACAAACACCTCATGGTTGCAGCACCTGAGCCCTGCGGTGGGAGCAGCCATGATGCCGCTGCCCCTCCTTTCCTGCCAAACATATCCGGCAGATGAAGCACATGCTCCAGCTCAGCAAGGAGCCCCAGGCACTCTACTAGTCTCTCTACCCTGCTACAAGTGGCAGGACAGAAACTGTCTTCCCCACACACCAGCCCTTCTTTCTGCATCACACACTTCTTTGAAAAAACACCTCTTCTTGACCCCTCTGGACCCAGTTCTCCAAGTTTTCTCTGTATAATAGCTATCATCTTTACCACTACTTCTGGTGGTGCAGTCCCTGATTACTAAGACACAGCTCAATGTCTAACCCCACCTTGTGCTCCCACTCATCCTTCCACTGCTCTTCTCCAAACTCTCATTCCTTTGAGGAAGGCACCTTGTTATACCGCCATCTGAAACCTGCTCATCTGACTTCATGCTGAGGCTGGCTGCATCATGAAAACAGATGCCCTCGAGATGGGCAGTCTCCTGATGCAGCATCTGCTCGTGACTTTGTCACATTGTGGGCCCTGTTCCTTGCAGCACATTTAGTAGAAGAGCTGTACCAAATGAAATGACCACTGGCACCTAGAGGTCACTAGCCCTAGAGACATGATACATGCAATTGTCCAGTGCCTTTTTAAATCACCCTTCTCCCTGTGAAATATCTAGAACCTATTGTTGCTGGGCTCAGAATATTCAGGGATTCCCCATCTTAGGATGCCAACAATCTACTCGAATGGGCCTATTCCCATAGAGAGAGCACACAGTCCCCAGGGCTGCTACCATTCTTCCTCAGGCCTAGTGCCCTCTCACTGGCTGTGACTGACTGTGACCCAGCATATGCTCTGGACTGCAGGATGGACCAGTGCCATCTAGTACTGTGCCCTGCTGCAGAAGCCCATCTCAGCATCACTCTGTGTTGTGACTCTCACACTCCAGACTCGGCCATCCTGTAAGGCCAAGAAAGGCAACTTGCCCCCTCTTCTTCAGCAGAGGAAGGAAGGATTGGGCCCTCAGAGCTCTGCAGACCCACTGCTTGCTTCAGAATCCAACTGGCAGTGCCCCCAGTGTTTCATGTTCATGATATTTCTCCAGCTCCCTTATTTTACCCCCATTCCTGCCTAAATGGACAGAGTAATAGAAGGGAAGTCTTTGCTGCTTTTGGCTAATGGGCTGTGGTTTCTTTAAGTGCCTTCCCTATTTTCCTGCCTCTGCTCAGAGAATAGTACCATCAATCCAACAGGACAGGAAGGACTGAACAGGAAAAGGTCAAAGCAACAGGCCCAGGTAGCTCACTGGAAAAATGCCTTGTTGAGATACGAGAGGCTGCTATTACACAGTGGAGAGAGGTTAACATAAAGCTGTAATCTAAAAGGAAGCTTCCTGAATAAGTAGCAAAAATAAGACAGAAAAGCAGTAGGATCTGCTAACACAGGTAAAGCAAGGAGACTTCACTTGGGAACCCACTGTCCCATTTCTTACCCTTGTCAGTGCCCACAAATTAGTCCAACGCTTATCTTCTTCACTTCTTACACAGTTCTCCTACCTCAGTGTGGTGGGGAAGGACTGCTAACCCTGAGAGCACCATAGAAAGTGTCAGTGCTTTGTGTGTCTGACCTCCTGGCTGTGCTGCAGGTTGTTATGGCAAGACATGGATGCGTGTGCAGAAGAGCTGGGAAAGATGCAGCTCTGCAGCAGTGTCTCTGTGGTCTTGGATGGCTGAAAGACCTCATGGCTTCACAAAGATGTACAGCAGCCCCTGTTCTGAAGCTTCCTCCAGTCAGGCCCTCTGCAAGCCTCAATCCCAATCTATGATTGAGACCCCCACCATTCCTACATCCCTTCATTTGTCACACCCTTCTCATTTGCTTCTATCTATCAGCAACCTGCTCCTGTGATTGTTCATGTGGAGGAAAAAATGGCAGTGGACAACGAGCAGAGGCAGGAAAGTATTCCCTGCCTGGCATTAGAAAAGTCCTTTCTACCTCATTTCAACTTCTCTGTCTGTGAAAATGGAGACTCCAAGACATCTTCCTTGAAACAGTTACTTAATTCCTATAAAACATCAAGCATTGTACAGCTGCTAAGAATCATTGCTGCAAACTGTAGTATGCTAGGGAACAGTGTGCGAGAGCACAGTAATAAAGTTGATTAGCCACTCACATAGATACGCACACGTACATGATGCTACAAGGTTTAGATATACCAGGAAACAGGAAATAGGACCAATAGACACGTAGACATCTATGAAGATTATTTTTGTTAAGGATCTGGAAATACAGTGCCAAAAGCTGCCAAAGATGGGTGCAGTCTAAGCTCACAATTGGAAGGGTCTCCAGGAAATGTATGCATTTACAAAACTTCCACAAAAAAAGCCTAATTAAAAACTCAGTTTAAATAAAATAATAACAAAAAAATCTGATATTTCCAAGCATGAGAAAATAAGTGTCATAGCTACACCATAGCAAAAAAGAGTGGAAGTCTCTCAGTCCACCAGTTATATGCAAACCCAAGCTTTCTTCTTGGAAAAAAATCATTATCAATGTACAATGCCATCTAATCACAAAGCTAGAGCAACAAGGAGACAGAAGGATTCTCTAGCCATCCAGTAGAGGCCAACAGCAATGACAGCAGAGGCACAAGGGCCATGTCAGCTATAAGAAAGATTTACAGTGAGGTCACAGATAGCAACCAGCAACAAACTGGCAGCGGGAAAATTGGTGGAAACATGGACATTACCTTGCTCTGTCCTTTCAGCTGTCC